GTCGGGCGCATGCAGGGGGCAACCCATCGATGCTTCTCTCTGTCTCTCCCTCTCTCTCTAGAAATATCCTGGGGTGAGGAATTAAAAAAAAAGTCAACTTTATTGATTTCAGAGAGGAAGGGAGAGGGAGAGAGAGAAACATCCATGATGAGAGAGAATCATGGATCGGCCGCCTCCTGCACGCCCCCCACGGGGGATGGAGCCCGCAACCCGGGCCTGTGCCCTTGATGGGGAATCGAACCCTGACCTCCTGGCTCCTCGGTCGACGCTCACCACTGAGCCACGCCGGCCGGGCTGCTGACCCTATGAGCTCATCGTCACCCGTTTCACCCGGGGGGAAACAGGCCCAGAGAGGCCCACGCTGCCCTGCTAGTCAAGGGGACTGGGCTGAGATTCAAAACCCAAGGACTGGCTCCGTCCCTCCTCCCTCCCCTGCCCCCCGCCCCCCCCCCGGCCCCCCCACACTCTCCCTGCCGGTGGAGGCGGCCGGGACACAGATCGGGTCCCAGGAGGGGTCGGTGCCCTAGGGCTGACCTTGCTGCTGTCCGCGGGGGAGATCCGGACCAGCAGCCGTCGCACCACCAGGGGACCCATGAGCAGCACGACTCCTGGCCGCTGTGTCACCTTCGCTGGGCGGCCGAGGGCAGCGTCTGCCTGTCTCTCTCTCTCTCTCTCTCTCTCTCGGCCGGGACTGTGCACACCCGGGGCCTTGCCGACCAGCCCCCTGCACCCGCCTTTCCTGCACAGACTCAGCCCGGAGTCTGCCCGACGCTTCCCCCTCCCCACGCAGAGACACGGCCAGGGCTGCGCATCCTCCTGGGAGAACACGGGCGGTCACAGCAGCCTCGGGCCCAGCCCGGGGCCCCCCATCCCCCTCTGTCCTGAGTGCGAGGCTGCGCCCGTCCGTCTGTGTGTGGGAGTCTGGCTGGCTGGGCCCGGCTGGGCTCGGGGAGAGGACGCGTGGGGCAGTGGGTGTGAGTGGGAGGCTCTGTGCCGAGCGGGAACGGGCAGGCACCTCCAGGACTCCAGGCGGACGGGGGTGGTTAGCAGCATCACCCAGAGCCCCGGCCGGTGTGGCTCAGTGGGGAGAGCGCCGGCCTGCGGACCGGAGGGCCCCGGGTTCGATTCCGGTCCAGGGCACGGACCCGGGTGGCGGGCTCCTCCCCGGCCCGGGCCCTGGTCGGGGCGCGTGCGGGAGGCAACCCACCGGTGTGTCTCTCTCACATCGATGTCTCCCTCTGTCTCTCTCTTTTCCACTTTCTCTAAAATCAATGGGAAAATATCCTCTGGTGAGGATTAACCAAAAACAAATTTTTTTTTAAATATGTTTTTATTGATTTTTGAGAGAGGAAGGGAGAAGGGTAGAGAGAAACACAGATGAGAGAGAAACATCATGGATCGGCTGCCGCCTGCACGCTCTCCTCTGGGGACCGAGCCCACAGCCCGGGCGTGTGCCCTGAGCGGGAATCGAACCCTGACCTCCAGGTTCATAGTTCAGTGCCCAACCACTGAGCCACACCAGCCAGGCCAAAAATTTTTTTAATTAAATTAAAATAAAATGAAATACTTTTTTTTTTTTTTTAAAGGGTCTGGATTCCCTAGGGAACAGCAGCAGCTCTGGCCTCTGGTCTGAGGCATTGGCTGCCACTGTTGAACTTGACCTTTGAACTTGGCCTGTGAGGATGCTGCCATGACAGAGTCCCCCTGCCCCCCCTCCTCACACTCACCCCACGATCGGCCACCCTCGTCCCCTTTCCAGGGCTCCTGGCCCGGATCAGAGAGCAGCCCGAGGTGAGGGGAGGCGAGGGGTGTCCCCTGGGTGGAAGGGGGCACCTTGCACCCCACCCCGGAGAAACCCCACTTGGCGATCCCCACCCCCAGCAACCGGGCCACCAGGAGGCCCTCCGGAGGCTCCCAAAGCCAGGCCCTGCCGGCTGTGCTGCCCGACATCCGTGCCGGGTGGCAGGGCCAGGGACCTGGGCAAGGGCGCCTGGCACGGCCTCCTTCCTGAGTGAGGAGGCGGCGGCAGGACTCAGGGGTTGGCAGACGCAAGCGGCAGGGCCCGAGGTGCTTACAAGCCCACGGCTCCCTAGCAACCTGATGGCGTGACTGCAGGACCTTTTCCACTAGGATCTGCCACCCCCACCCCACCCTGAAAGTGCACGCTTGGAGCCCTGGCCGGTGTGGCTCAGTGGATAGAGCGTTGGCCTGCAGACTGAAGGGTCCTGGGTTCGATCCGGGCAAGGGCATGGACCTTGGCTGCGGGCACATCCCCAGTGGGGGGCGTGCAGGAGGCAGCTGATCAATGTTTCTCTCTCATCGATGTTTCTAACTATCCCTCTCCCTTCCTCTCTGTGAAAAAATCAATAAAATATATTAAAAAAAAAAAAAGAAAGGAAACTCAGGGGAGGAAAAAAAGTGCACAGTTGGGGCCCTGGCTGGTGTGGCTCAGTGGATAGAGCGTCGGCCTGCAGACTGAAGGGTCCTGGGTTCGATTCCGGTCGGGGGCATGTACCTTGGTTATAGGCTCCTCCCCGGCCCGGGCCCTGGTCAGGGCGCGTGCAGGAGGCAACCCATCGATGTCTCTCTCACATCGATGTTTCTCTGTCTCTCCCCCTCCCTCCCACTCTCCCTAAAAATCACTGGGAAAATATCCTCGGGGGTTGGATTAAAAAATAAATTAAAACATAAATAAATAAAGTGCCCGGCCCGGCTGGTGTGGCTCAGCAGATTGAGCGACCTCCCATAGACCTAAAGGTCCTGGGTTCGATTCCCGGTCAAGGGCACAGGCCCTGGTTGTGGGCTTGATCCCCAGTGGGGGAGCATGCAGGAGGCAGCCGGTCCGTGACTCTTTCTCATCAGTGATGTCTCTTTCTCTCTCTCTCTCTCTCTCTCTGCCTTCCTCTCTGAAATCAAGAAAAATATATTAAACAAATAAAAAAAGAGTAAAAAAAAAAAAAATGACCCCACAGCCATGTCCCTTGCGGTCATTCACGCGCCCAGATCAGCACCCCGGATTCTGAAGCAAGTTTGCATCCAGCCCCGGCCGGTGTGGCTCAGTGGATAGAGTGTCGGCCTGCGGACTGAAAGGTCCCGGGTTCAATTCCCGGTCAGGGCACAGGCCCAGGTTGTGGGCTCCATCCCCAGTGGGGGGCGTGCAGGAGGCGGCCGATCAGTGATTCTCTCTCATCGTGGATGTTTCTCTCTGTCTCTCTCCCTCTTCCTTCCTCTCTGAAGTCAATAAAAATATATTTTTTTTAAAAAATTTGCATCCAGTGCCCCGGAAAGCTGGCGATGGGCCGCGTGGCTAGTGCAGCCTCAGGGCTGAAGGTCGAGGCAGTCATGTTGGGGACCACAGGGCAGGCTGCTGGGAGGGTGTCCCCACCCCACCCCGGGAAGGAGCAGCATCTGTGTTCAGTGCTGTGTCCCCCTGGGCACCATGCCCTCCCTTCCCCAGGGAGCCGGCTGGGGCTGTGCCCGCGGGTGGTTCAGGCTGGTGGGCAGGCTCCATCTGGGAGGCGGGGAGAAGGCAAGTCTGCTGCCCTCCGCGTTCCCATTCCTGGCACTCGCCCCCGATGGAAAGCTCTAGAACAGTGGTTCTCAACCTTCCGGCCCTTTAAATACAGTTCCTCATGTTGTGACCCAACCATACAATTATTTTCGTGGCTACGTCATCACTGTCATGTGGCTCCTGTGATGAATCGTCATGTAAATATCTGATCTGCAGGACGGTCTCAGGCGACCCCTGTGAAAGGGTCGTTCGACCGCCAAAGGGGTCGCGACCCACAGGTTGAGAACCGCTGCTCTAGAGGATGCTGGCTTCCTCTGGGTCCGCCTTCGGGTTACAGGACCCGACCCGGGCGCCAGGAGATTTGGGGGAGGGTTGCCAGGTGGTCTCTCTGTGTCTGACGCCTACAATCCCGTGGGGCTCCCCTGTGAGCTGGACGCACACCCTGGACTGGGGAGGGGGGCGTCAGAATTCAGGGTCCTGCTCTGAGGCTGAGGGGCGTGGAACTCTAGCCCCTCCATCCTCCCCCAGCGCCCCTGAGGGCCCGAGGAGTACACATCCCGGGCCCACGCGCAGGCCCGGGGCGGCTCAGACACGCGGGTTTGCTCCAAGTCGGCTGTGTCATTGCTCTGAGCTTTTTTGTTTTTCCTTTAAATATTTTATTGATTTTTTACAGAGAGGAAGGGAGAGGGATAGAGAGTTAGAAACATCGATGAGAGAGAAACATCGATTAGCTGCCTCCTGCACATCTCCTACTGGGGCCGGAGCCTGCAACCAAGGTACACGCCCTTGGCCGGAATCGAACCCGGGACCCTTCAGTCCGCAGGCCGATGCTCTATCCACTGAGCCAAACCGGTTAGGGATGAGCTTCATTTTTAATCCTCACCTGAGGATATTTTTCCATTGCTTTTTTAAAAAATATATCTGTATTGATTTCAGAGAGGAAGGGAGAGGGAGAGAGGGAGAGAGAGAGGAACATCCATGAGAAGAGAGAATCATGGATCGGCTGCCTCCTGCACACCCCCTCCTGGGGATGGAGCCTGCAACCCGGGGTATGTGCCCTGACCGGAATTGAACCCAGGACCCTTCAGTTCGCAGGCCAAAGTTCTATCCACTGAGCCACCCGAGCCGGGCACTTTTCTGCGTTGTAAGTTTGTCGAACAATTACAGCAGCAGATCTTTGACTGCAGTGAAGAAGGCACCTTCCTGCTTCCCTCCCCTCCCTCCCCAGCACATGCATTTGAACAATCCTGAAGTTCCCTTTGCACGATGAAGAAAATTCTAGAGGCGGTTGGGGGGGGGATGGCTGTGCAACATGTGGGTGTACTTAACCCACTAACCCGCACACCTAGCCATGGTTAGGATGGCGAATATCGTTACTCCTGTGGTACCAGAATTTTTTTTTAATTATCATTTTTAACAGGGAGCAATCAACATCAGAATAAAGCCCAGGCCAGAACTGACCCTGACCCTGTGCCCTGCTCTGTTTCAGCCACACCGACCCCGGCGCCTGCTCTCCGAGGGACCGGTCACTGCTCTCAGCGGCTCCCAGCTGCGATGCCCGGCCACTGCCCCTCCCTCCTGCAGCAGCCCCACCCAGGGTGCCAGCCCACCCCGTGGCCCTTATGAAGAGGTGACTCCGTTTTCTCTCATCTCCTGCTTCTCTCCTGAATCTATTTAATCTCTCCCTTGTCTGTGGAATCTGTTTTCTCTGCACTCTCGCTTCTGTCTTGAGTTATCCAGTTGATTTTTGCTGAGTCATGCAATTGATTTTGCTGAGTCCTCCAATTGATTTTGCTGAGTCATGCAATTGATTTTGCCGAGTCATCTGATTGATTTTGCTGAGTAATGCAATTGATTTTTGCTGAGTCCTCCAATTGATTTTGCCGAGTCATGCAATTGATTTTGCCGAGTCATCTGATTGATTTTGCTGAGTCATGCAATTGATTTTTGCTGAGTCCTCCAATTGATTTTGCCGAGTCATGCAATTGATTTTGCCGAGTCATCTGATTGATTTTGCTGTCATGCAATTGATTTTGCTGAGTCCTCCAATTGATTTTGCTGAGTCATGCAATTGATTTTGCTGAGTCATGCAATTGATTTTTGCTGAGTCATCCAATGGATTTTGCTGAGTCCTCCAATTGAGTGACCAGTCCGGACCAGCAGGTCAGTGCCCTCCGGGGACAGGTGAGGAGGAAGACAAGGTGTGGGCGAGGGGACAGCATGGTCCCCTATGGTTACAGGTAGGCCAGGTTGCCAAGCAGAAGCCGGCCCCCAGGTGTCCTCCGGACGCTTCGGATCGGGTGGGGGAGCCGGATCCACTGCTTCCACCAGAGGAGGGCGGGGCCTGCAAGGCCCACGGCTCAGGAGGTGGTCCTGGGGTGACTCATTTCCCCTTCCTGGGCCTCAGTTTCCACAGTTATAACACGGCCAGAGTGACGCCTGGCTGACCTGCCTCCAGGGCTGTCGTGAGGATGACATAATTGACGGCAAGGGGAATGCAACGTGCAACTACGTGCGCCAAGATTTCGCACTTGGCTCCCGGGGGGGCAGGGGGAGCAGCGGGCTGTCACTCCAGGGGGCCGAGGCAGATGAGGAGGGGAGTGGGTGCCCTCCCCCTGCCTCAGGCCAGTGGGCACAACCCTCCCTGCCCACAGGAGGACCAGGGTCCAGAGCTTCTGTTCCATGTTGCAGCCGGGTCCAGTTCAGTATTCAGACTAATTAAAATGTACGTTAGTCCACGGTGTGGGTCCCTCAAGGCCGTGGGCCACGTGAGTGCAGGGGAACGTGACCCCTGCGACAGGCGTCCCCAGAGGGTCAGAGGGTCAAAGGCCAAGGGCCAAGAGCCGAAAGCGCCCTCCTTCACTCAGAAGTTGAAATACTCAGGTTTCCTGCCCTGGCAGTGGCCACAGCCTATTTGGCCACCAATTTGTTTCCAGGGGTGACGGACAGACAGGTAAACACCTTCCCATACTTCTCAGACCTTACTGGACATGCGTCTCTTGACCAGGGCCTTCCCCCATCAGTCAACAAAAAACAGGCCTGGAGAACGTTAAATGGACAAAGCTATACTATTCAATCTTTCTTTTACTCTTTTCCTATCCTATATAATAAAAGGCTAATATGTAAATTGACTGAATGGTGGAACAACTGGCCGCAATGACACACACTGACCACCAGGGGGCAGACGCACAGCACAGGAGCTGCCCCCTGGTGGTCAGTGCGCTCTCACAGGGGGAGCGCTGCTCAGCCAGAAGCCCTGGGCTGGCTCACTGCTGGTGAGGGCAGCAGCGGTGGCGGGAGCCTTTCCCGCCTCTGAGGCAGTTGGACATCCCCCGAGAGCTCCCGGACTGCGAAAGGGTGCAGGCTGGGCTGAGGGCTTCCGCCCCCGGAGTGCATGAATCCCCCAAGTGCATGAATTTTGTGCACCGGGCCTCTAGTTAAATAATAACTGCCCAGAAGGTGTGGCTCAGTGAGCCTCAACCTATGAACCAGGAGGTCACGGTTCGATTCCCAATCAGGCCACATGCTGGGTTGCGGGCTCGATCCCCAGTGTGGGGCGTGCAGGAGGCAGCTGATCCATGATTCTCTCTCATCATGGATGTTTCTGTCTCTCCTTCTCCCTTCCTCTCTCTGAATCAATAAAACTATTTAAATAATTTAAAAAATAATAATGAAATGATGAGCCCTGACCAGTTTGGCTCAGTGGATAGAGCGTCGGCCTGTGGACTGAAGGGTCCCGGGTTAGATTCCGGTCAAGGGCATGTACCTTGGTTGCGGGCACATCCCCAGTGGAGGGTGTGCAGGAGGCAGCTGATCGATGTTTCTCTCTCATCGATGTTTCTAACTCTCTATCCCTCTCCCTTCCTCTCTGTAAAAAATCAATAAGACATATTTAAAAAATAATGAAATGATGACCACGATCTCGCTGGCACAACTCTCCGCAGGGCTGGAAGATGGTCCCAGGCCCCCGGCAGCCGGAGGAGGAGCCCCCCGCCGCCGGCCCGCGATGGAGGAACCCACGCCCGAGCCCGTCTACGTGGACGTGGACAAAGGACTGACCCTGGCCTGCTTCGTCTTCCTCTGCCTCTTCCTGGTGGTCATGATCATCCGCTGCGCCAAGGTCATCATGGACCCGTACAGCGCCATCCCCACGTCCACCTGGGAGGAGCAGCACCTGGATGACTGATGGGGGCGGGGCGGCCACTGGGGCGGCGCCGTTGGGTCCCCGGGCACCGGGCGCTCAGCCCGTCCACACGGGAGGGGACGCGGTTCCCCTGTGGGCGGAGAAAGCCCCCCTTGGCCTCACCTGCTCCCACCCGCGCGTCAGGGTGACATGCTCGGGGTGCCCCAGGGGTTCCAGCCGGGGGTGAGTTTGGGGAACGCGGTGACTACGGGGCGGTCACCTCCCCGGGCTCCAGCAAGACACCCAACGTGACACCACCGTGGCCTCCTTTTCGGGGGCCCTCTGCTCATCAGATGCAAACCGGCCCGTGCACTGGCCCTGGGGGACCCCCAGCACAGATGTCCCCCCAGAACCCAAGCCCCTCTAGGGGGCCATTGTGAACGGGGGGTGAGGGGGACCCCCCAAAAAAGCCCCATAGAAGGCACGGGGACTGCTTCCCGGCTGCATTTTTAAAAACTGAAAACAGAGAGGGGTCTATTTTTCCTGTTGCCGGTGAAGTGTGCGTTTCAGAAATTTGGGGGAAAATACAGAATCCTAGAACCCCGCCTCCCAGAAGCCGCTCCTCTGAAAGGGTCGCCCAGCCTTTGCGACACACGGATTTCACATAGATCGCACCGCGTGCAGGACGTGTCGCTCATGTGACAGCGTGAGGACTCCCGGTCTGTCACCCGCAGTCCCTGTTGGTGGCGAGGTCGGCGGCCAGGAATCCTCTCCTTTGGTCCGACACTGAAATCTTCTGCTGATTTTCTCTCCCACAAAATTGTTGCAGCCAGTCACAGCTTTCTATAAAAATATGCTCTTATGGATTTCAGAGAGGAAGGGAGAGAGAGAGAGAGAAACATCCGTGATGAGAGAGAATCGCGGACCGGCCGCCTCCTGCACGCCCCACACTGGGGATCCATCCCCCAACCCGGGCCTGTGCCCTGAGCGGGAATCGAACCTGTGACCTCCTGGTTCCTAGGTCGACGCTCAGCCCCTGGGCCACGCCGGCCGGGCAGACGTTGAATGATGTTGCCGGTTTTGCCTCCCACGAAACTGTCTCACCACTCACGCCTTGACAGTGCGCCATCCCCACAGGAATGATGGACGGACGCGGAGACCTGGGTTCATACGTCAGCCTCTCTCTCCAGGGCTGTGTGCCCATGAGCAAGTCCCTCCACCTCTCGGTACCTCTGTTTAAATTTTATTTATTCATTTTTCTTTTTGGTGAATCCTCCCCCGAGGATATTTTTCCCATTGATTGATTAGAGAGAGTGGAAGGGAGAGGGACAGAGAGAAACATCGATGTGAGAGAGAGACACGTCGATGGGTTGCCTTCTGCACGCGCCCCGACCAGGGCCGGGTAACCTGCGACCAGGGCATGTGCCTGTGACCGAAATCGAACCCGGGACCCTTCAACCCGCAGGCCGACGCTCTAGCCACTGAGCCACACTGGCCGGGGCTGCATGTTCTAATTGGATTGGGAGAGCCGTGCCTCCCTGTCCCCTGAAGCCGTCCCAGAATTCCAGGCGCTGGCTCAATGCCCAAGGGGTCCTGGTCCGGACGCCAGGCCGAGGGACCCACAAGCCTGTGTGTCCACTGGTGCGGGTTCATCCCCCCCCAGCTCACCCCCCATCCCCCCCGCGCCATCTCACTGATAAAAACAGACGAATGAATGGCTCCCCGGGGAGCGGTTCCCACCTCGACCCGCCGAGTTAAGACGCCCACACTGCGCCCACAGGGCACCATGGCTTTTATTCATTTGTTCCTGAAGGCGGGCGGGAGGGGCCCACAGCCACAGAGGGGCCCCTGGTCCCGGGGTCGGTGGTGGGGGGGGCAGCTGGGGGTCCAGCCAGGTGTGTCCAGGACGCCCGAGAGGACCTCACGCCGGTGGGAGGGCGGGCAGCACCTTCCCCGTGCAATGGCCGAAGCCCACGCGGTAGCCGTCCCCCTGGCAGTGTCCTGGAACAGAGGGGACAGGGGTCAGCGGCGGCCGCTGGGGCACGGGAACCAGAGGCTGGGCAGCGGCAGCGACAGCCGTCACGGAGCCGGGCCCGGGGCGGGCGGGCGCCGACGGGAGGACGGAAGTGCGTTTTCCACGGGAGGACAGCCCGTCGTAGCCGTCAGGGGACTTCGAGGTGGGACTCCGGGCCCCAACCCCCCCCACGGTCCCTCGGGAAACACCCCAAGGGGCTGCACAGCTTCCCGCGTGGGTTTGGGTTTAGCCTGAAGCGAGAGGCCCGAGTTCAAAGCCTGGCTTCCCCACCGACCGGCCCCGTGACTCAGTTTCCCCATCTGTGAAATGGGTTCAATGAGCAAGCACAGCAGGGAGGACTGTCGGCAAGATGAGATGGACACACAGAAAACTGAGCTCGGCCCCCTCACCTGGGAACAGGAGTAACGGCCCCCGTCTCTCAGGTACATGAGGATCCGATTAAATGCCCCGCGTAGCCCCCCTCCCCCAGCACATGCTCGCCTACAGAATAGATGCCCCACTGGCGTTAGTGCCATTCATTGAATCCCCCCTCACCCCCAAGGATATTTTGAGGGGAAGGCAGAGAGGAGGGTCCAGCACGTCTAGACAAGGGTTAGAGGAGAGAAGGCAGCCAGGCGCCGAGAGGGCAGGAAGGAGGGAACATCTGAGCTGGGCATTGACGGGTGAGTAGGAGTTTGCCGGGAAGGGCATGCCAGACAGAGGGAACAGCATGTGCAAAAGACACAGACTGCGTTTGCTTCCTGAATGCAGGCGGCGATGACATCCTCTCACTCCACCCCCCTACTCGGTCCCGGTGGGCAAAGCTGGCCCCCACCGCCCCCTCCCCTGTCTCACAGACACCCGGACCCGGGTCTCCGCCAAGTCCAGATGGACGGCGACCTGACATTGTTTTTTCGCTCTGCGCAGGGAGCCGGGGACAGAGCAGGGCATCCGGGGCCTTTGTGGTCTGGGAGGGTCCAATGGAGAACCCCTGGGGCCCCAGGCTGGGGTGAGGGACAGAGCGAGCAGACATGGGGATGCCGGAGGGGGGCCGAGCCAGCCAGACGCCACCCAGCCGACGGCACAGCGCACACAGGCAGGAGACGGCACAGCACACACGGGCAGGAGACGGCACAGCGCACACGGGCAGGAGACGGCACAGCGCACACGGGCAGGAGGCGCCCGCACCTGTGATGATGACTTCGTCCCCGTCTTGCAGGAACCGCCGGGTCTGCCCGATGCCCAGCTCGATGGGCTGCGTGCCGCGCCAGGACAGCTCCAGCATGGAGCCGAAGCTATCTGGCTCCTGCGGACAGAAAAGGCAGGAGGTGTCACAGGGCCTCGCGGGCGTGGCTCCGTGGCTGAGCGTGGACCTAGGAACCAGGAGGTCAGGGTTCGATTCCGGTCACAGCACAGGCCCAGGTTGCGGGCTCCATCCCCAGAGTGGGGCGTGCAGGAGGCAGCCGGTCCGTGATTCTCTCTCATTGATGTTTCTCTCTCTCTCCCTTTCTCTCCCTTCCTCTCCGAAATCAATAAAAATATATTTTTAAGAAAAGAAAGAAGAAAAACAAAGAAAGTATCACAGGGACCCACCTCTGGGTAGCCTGTCGGCTCCACACGGACAAGACCTGGGAGCCCCGGGCGGGGGCGGGGGATCCGGGCCCCCCCAGACCCTGCCTTGGTGGAACCACACAGGAACGCCCTGGGGGGATGCCAGGCCCCGCCCCCCACTGGGGACAAGAGGCTGCAGTCAGGACCTGGCCGGAAGGGACTGGCACATGCACTTCCCCCTCACCCCCCACCTCATTGGCAAGGCACCATCTCTGGGGTTCTGAGACCCTACCCTGGCCTGACAGTGGCACGGGGATGGGGGTGGGGCGGGGCGGGGAGACCACAGCAGCCAGGCCATCCTGGGAGCACACAGTGTGGGATGGTGACACCACACACTCAGGCTGCTTCTCCCTCCCTCCCCCCACCGTCCCCCCCGCCCCGACAGACACAGCCTCCTGCTCCCATGCCCGTCTCTTTCCCTCAGAATTTGAAATTACAAATATTTTTAATTTTTTTTAATTTCGGAGAGGAAGGGAGAGGGAGCGAGAGAGAGGAACAGCCATGATGAGAGAGAACCATGGATCGGTGCCTCCTGCACGCCCCCCACTGGGGATGGAGCCTACAACCCAGGCCTGTGCCCTGACCGGGAATCGAACCCTGACCTCCTGGTTCCTCGGTCCACGCTCAGCCACTGAGCCCCGCAGGCCGGGCCCTTTCGCCCTGAGTTTGGAAAGGAAGCCCCTCCCCCACCCAGACGTGGAGGAAGCAGAGTAGGACAGAGGCGTCCACACGCCCGCCGGGGGGTGAGCTGGGGCCCTGGGGGCTGCGTGGGGAGCAGGGAGGGGGGCGTGGGGGGCTGGATCTGCGTGAGGTGGGTACTCACCGGCCCGCTGATGGTTCCGGAAGCCAGCAGGTCCCCGGGCCGCAGGTTGCAGCCGTTGACGGAGTGGTGAGTGAGCTGCTGCAGCATCGTCCAGTACATGTGCTGCGGGCGAGGGGGGGGGCGGGGGATGGGCCCTCACACAGCCAGGCCTGCACAGCGGCCCCCGGGCTTCTTCCAGGCCCCCCGGATTCCCCCCCACACCGCACCCGCTCTCCCAGGTTCCTCTGGGCCATGACAGCAGCCCAGGGACCACCCCCCTCTGTGCCAGCCCTGCACCCCCACCCACCTTCCCCTCACAGCCTCAACGTGCAGCCCACTCCTCTGTCCCTAAGGACACTCTGCCCCTCAAGTGCCCCCCCGAGCCCAGGGGCACAAGGTCCTCACCACGGCAGAGGCCCCTCGTGAGCAAAGACCCCAAGTTCTTTCTCCCACCCAGGGCCTCGGAACAAGGCACCTGCAGGGAGGTCGGGTGGGGGGGGTGGGGGGCCGGGACCATGTGCCCCTCCCACAGGCTCAGGTGCAGGGTCCTCCCGCGCCTCCCCACGCCCACAGTGTCCGAGATCTGCCACCCCCAGAGCCACCCGTCCAGGCAGAGGACTGACTCCTCAGAAACGACTCTTGCCCGGCCAGCGTGGCTCAGTGGTTGAGCCCCGACCTATGAACCAGGAGGTCAGGGTTCGATTCCCGGTCAGGGCACAGGCCCGGGTTGCGGGCTCCATCCCCAGTGGGGGGCGTGCAGGAGGCAGCCGATCCGTGATTCTCTCTCATCACTGATGTTTCTCTCCCTCCCTCTCTCTCCCTTCCTCTCTGAAATCAATTAAAAAATATACTAAAAAAAAAAAAAAAGTTCAGCCCTAGCCAGTTTGGCTCAGTGGATGGAGCGTCAGCCTGTGAACCGAAGGGTCCTGGGTTCGATTCGGGTCAAGGGCATGTATGTCGGTTGCGGTCCGGGTCGTGCGGGAGGCAACCATTCGATGTGTCTGTCTCCCCCTCGCCCTTCTACTCTCCCTAAAATTCAACGGGAAAATTATCCTCAGGTGAGGATTAAAAAAATAGTAATTAATACATTTCTGAAAAAAGAAGTTCACTTAAAAAAAAAAAGTCACTCTGACCCATCCAGCCCCTAGCTCAGCGGTTCTCAACCTGTGGGTCGCGACCCCTTTGGCGGTCGGACGACCCTTTCACAGGGGTCGCCTAAGACCATCCTGCAGATCAGATATTTACGTGACGATTCATCACAGGAGCGACATGACAGTGACGAAGTAGCCACGGAAATAATTCTATGGTTGGGTCACAACACGAGGAGCCGTATTGAAAGGGCCGGAAGGTTGAGAACCGCTGCCCTAGCTGGACAGAAGCCCAGACTAGACCCTCCCGGGAACATGAGTGGTTTCCCAGGAAATCCCTGGCCTCCCTCTGAAGGCCTCGTGACCCAGGGCCGGCTCCGTGGCGTCCACAGGCGACCCTCCAGCATCTCCCCACATGGACGCTGCTCCCCGGTTCCCGCCAGAGGGAACGGCTCTCCTGGTCCCTCCTATCCGTCCGTCCGTCCGTCTGTCCGTCCGTCCGCGGCTGGCCCAGCGCCCACGCTTACCTTAAAATTGGACTTGCAGATGGGAACGCCCTGGCTCATTCCCTCTCCTGTGGGAGAGACGGGGAACATGGACAGAGGGACTCACTTCCGTCCATTCAGAAGGAATAAAACCAAAAAACCCCAATAAAAACCACCTTGTAGGGTGGACTTTGTGGCCTGAGCTGCCCACCGCCCAACCTCATGTTTGCCTAATGAGTCCCAAAAGCCATCGGCGCGGCCCTGGCCGGAGCTCAGTTGGTCCGAGTCTCGTTCTGATCCGCCAAGGACTCGGGTTCGATCCCCAGCCAGGGCACACCCAGGGCTCAACCAGGGCCCGGCGGGCGGGGCTCAGGGGCTGAGCGTCGACCTAGGAACCAGGAGGTCAGGGTTCGATTCCTGGTCAGGGCACAGGCCCGGGTTGCGGGCTCCATGCCCAGTGGGGGGCGTGCAGGGGGCAGCCGGTCCATGATTCTCTCTCATCATCAATGTTTCTCTCTTTGTCCTTCTCCCTTCTTCTCTGAAATCAATTAAAATATATTTTCAAAAAGAAAAAAAGAAAAGACGTGTCTCTAAGGCTGCAGCAGGAAATACCCCCCCTTCTCCCCCTCACCCCCCTGCCGGCCCCCGAGCTCAGGAGCCCAGAGCCCCTGGCCACACCCTCCAACCCTGGATGGTACCTCTCAGGGCGACAGAGAGTTTGATGTCGAACGTGTAGGGCTGGTCATGGCAGAGATACGGCAGCGGCTTGGGGTCCTGCGAGGGCAGAGCACACAGAGGGTCAGTGGTGGTGGTGGGGGGGGAAATGGGGGGGGGGAGCTCAGCGGAGGACACGGGGTAGAGGGGCAGCTCTCCAGCGACCCAGCGCCAGGTCCCTGGTCCGTGAGAGGTGAGGGTGGTCCCATGAGCCAGACTCCAGGGAATGCGAGGCTGAGGGAGGGGCAGGTCAGAGGTGCAGGGGCCAAAGAAGGGGCGCCCCAGACAGGCAGGGAGGGGCGCAGTCGGGTTAGCCTGGCTCAGTGGTTGAGTTTTGTCGACCTATGAACCAGGAGGTCACGGTTTGATTCCGGTCAGGGCACATGCAGGAGGCAGCCGATCCATGATTCTCTCTCATCATTGATGTTTCTCTCTCTCTCCCTTCCTCTCTGAAATCAATAAAGAAATATTTTTTTAAAAGAACAGAAAAATAAAAGAGCCGTAGCTGGTGTGGCTCAGTGGGTAGAGAGTCGGCCTGCGGACTGAAGGGTCCCGGGTTCGATTCCCGGTCGGGACACATGCTCAGGTTGTGGGCTCGATCCCCAGTGCGGGGCGTGCAGGAGGCAGCCGGTCCATGATTCTCTCTCATCATGGATGTTTCTCTCTCTTCCTCTCCCTTCCTCTCTGAAATCAATAAAAAAATATATATTTTTTAAAAATAATAAAAATAACGGAAAAACGCTGAGTAATCAATGGTTCGGAAGTGGCCAGAGTCCTGCCGGTTGAGCCCAGGTGGTGACCGGGAAGGGCTGTAGAGGGGGGTGTTTGGGTGCAGGGGCGCAGAGGGGGTGGGGGTGGGGGTGGGGCTCGAGCAGGGAGATGCCGGGCAGGGGTGGAGGACGGAGTCACGTGGCCACAGCCCAGGACGGGAGACGCAGGGAAACTGGGCCAGGGCACTGGCCGGGGGGTCACAGGGCGCTGGGGGAGGCCACGCGGGGAGGGGGAGGGGGGGCGAGGGTGAGACGAGGCCGGAACATCAGCTCCAGGACCAGCTCCCAGTGCATTCTCCCCCGTGGCCCCCGGGGGGCGCCATCGCACAGACAATACCGGCCGCCTGGTGCGTTGTGCAATGCGGTGACCCTGGCAGGGACTCTTTGTCCTGCCAAATGCCAGGTCCCCTGGCCTCAGAGGGAGGGTTCCGCAGGTTACAAAACGGTGTGTTTTCCCCCAAAAGAACTGTGCGCGGGGAGGGGGGTGGGGGGGCGGGCGGGGGAGGGGGCGGGGACAGCACAGCGGAGTGATGGGCGCCTGCCTGGAGGTCACGGTGCGCACAGGGCCGGGGTGCGGGGCTCCCTGCGGACGGGCGCTCACCTGCTCCGGGTTGGGCACCACGAAGGGCATGAGGGCCTCCATGGGCACCACCCACGGGGAGATGGTGGTTGCGAAACTCTTCCCCAGGAACGGCCCCAGCGGCACGTACTCCCACCTCTGAATGTCTCGGGCTGCGGGAGGAGGGCGGGCAGGGCTGACCCAGGCTGCCCGGACCTCGGCCCCCGGCTCCCTCCTCCCCTGACCCCGGGGCGGAGGTGCCCAGCACGGCCGCCCCCACTAGGCCCCACCCAGGCTGCCCGGACCAAGGGCTATCGGCCTCCGATGCCCAGGACAGAGGTCCTTTGGGGGGGGGGTGTCACTGTGCCGGGATGACCCGGCAGGCGGGATGGTCCCCCGTAAAGGGGCTGGACGCTCCCAGGCACCGTCTCCCTCCCGCATGGGCCGGGGGTGGAGGCAGGTTCGGAAGCTGGGCTGCTGAGTTTGATGGAAACCGTAGCTCAGCAACTAACGGAGACCTCTCTGTGCCTCAGTGCCTCATCTGTAAAATGGGGATGATAAGATCGCCAGGAGGCCCGGCCGGCCGGTGTGGCTCAGTGGTTGAGTGGTGACCTAGGAACCAGGAGGTCAGGGTTCGATTCCCGGTCAGGGCACCGGCCCGGGTTGCGGGCTCCATCCCCAGTGGGGGGCGTGCAGGAGGCAGGCGATCCGTGATTCTCTCATCATGGATGTTTCTCTGTCTCTCTCCCTTCCTGTCTGACATCAATAAAAATATATTAAGAAGAAGTCTCGCCAGGAGGCATTCGGACGGCCACACACAGTGCTCAGACCTGTTAGCTGTGCCCTCAGCCGTGTCCCCGGCCCGGGGAGGGGAACGCGGGGCTCAGAGCGGAGAAGTCTGTGTGGGGCCCATGCCCACACCCCGGGCTCCCCGAGCCAGCACCGCCCCCAGGGAGCCAGCGGGGCCTCTGGGAAAACGCCCCCGACACCCCGTCTCCGCCCGCAGCGGAGCGTCTGCAGGGGGCAGCCCCACTCACCGCTCCAGTCGTTCATCAGGACCATCCCGAAGATGTGCTCCTGCGCCTTGGAGATGGGGATCGGCTCCCCCAGGCGGTTCCCGGGGCCTACGAAGAAAGCCTGCCGCGGGGAGCGGGTGAGGTCTGGGCTCACCGGGCGCCCCAGGTCGCGCGCCTGGAGGGCAAAGGTCAGGCCTGTCTCAGGCCCCGAATGCAGTGTTTCTGACGGGGGCGGGAGGGGGATATCGGGGGCCAGCTAGAACCATAAGACACAGCGATCACGCTCAGTTAACCGCGACTGTGCTGTTCTGAGTAGAGGAGGCGCCTATTAGCCTGGCCTGATGGGAGCTGCAGTGGGACCTGGGAGCTCACCTGGAAGTGCAGCCCATCCTCCCACCCAGGACCTGCCTGTTACCATGGAAACATGACAACCTGGTTGCAGAAACCAGGGCCCCCAGCCCTTTGAGGACCCCCAGCCTTTGCATACCCACAGGCCTTTGCATACCCACAGGCCTTTGCAAACCCCCAGCCCTTTGCAAACCCCCAGCCCTTTGCATACCCACAGGCCTTTGCATACCCCCAGCCCTTTGCATACCCACAGGCCTTTGCAGACCCCCAAACCTTTGCATACCCACAGGCCTTTGCAAACCCCCAGCCTCTGCATACCCACAGGCCTTTGCAAACCCCCAGCCTCTGCATACCCACAGGCCTTTGCAGACCCCCAGCCTTTGCATACCCACAGGCCTTTGCAGACCCCCAGCCTAAATTGCCTGTGCACCACCCACCTGGCCCACCCTTTGCCTCCTCCCCATGCATCTCTGTCCTTCTCCCCAGTGTAAGCAGCCGCCGGTGGTGGGGGCAGAGCGGATGTTTGTGGGTGACCTGCTGCTCCCCACGCTGCCGGCGGGATTGGAATCAACGCTCACAGGCGATGCCAGCCTGTCTCGGCCGCATCGGCTCAGGGAGGGACAGGCGGCCCAGCCCCCTTGCGTGTCCGGTTCTATTTCTAAGTCGTGTGCTGCTCCTCGGGGGACCCATGGCCGCCTCGGGGAGCTGGGGCACTCCAGCCCATGAACCTTCTGATCAGCCCTGAACGCCAAGCACAGCAGCCGCCTGGCTTCTGCCCTGCTGCCCCCCACAGCTCTGCATTTCAGGACCCGACGACACGTGAGGCTGGTGGCAACTGAGGGGATCAGCCCCGGCAGGTGTGGCTCAGTGGATAGAGCGTCAGCCTGTGGACTGAAGGGTCTGGGGTTCGATTCCAGTCAAAGGCAAGAATCTGGGTTGCAGACTTGATCCCCGGCCCGAGTCAAGGCATGTGCTGGAGGCAACCAATCGATGTGTGTCTCTCACATCGATGTTTTTCTCTCTCTCTCTGTCTCTCCCCACTGCCCTGCCACTCTCTCTAAAAGTCAATGGAGCCCGGCTGGCACGGCTCAATGGTTGAGCATCAACCTATGAACCAGGAGGTCATGGTTTGATTCCCAGTCAGGGCACATGCCCGGGTTGCGGGCTCGATCCCCAGCAGGAGGGCGTGCAGGAGGCAGCCCATCCATGACTCTCTCTCATCATTGATGTTTCTATCTCTCTCTCCCTCTCCCTTCCTCTCTGAAATCAATAATATATATATATATATATATATATATATTAAAAATCAATGGAAAAAATATACTCAAGTGAGGATTCACCCACAAAAAAGGGGAAAAAAATAATTATTCGTGTAAAATCAAAAGGCTGCCTCCAAAACGCAGCCAAGAAGCCGGTGGGGTGTACCCTCCCCACCCCAAGCCCATCACCCACCGCCCCGGGGAGAAAAACACCCCCAACACAATGGCCAGGAACCAGCAGAATAGCCACACGTCATGGGGGCAAACTGGGGCGATGACCGTCAACAGCACAGAGTCACGGTGACATTTGCAAAAACAGAACCGGAGTCCTATTTGCTGAGTGATGAGTGTTTACACATGGCAAACATCTCCTCCAGGTCAGACAACAGACCCAGGGCCCCGGCTGAGAGCGGGTCGCACCGCAGCCAAGACCAGGGGCCCTGCCCTCCCCTCCCCGGCTCTGCACCGGGAAGCACCTGCCCGCAGAGTCCTCGATGCACCCGGAGAGAAGGGCGCCCCCAACCTGGGCTTGGAGGGTCTGGGCTGGGAGACCTGCTCTGGGGTCCACGGGGCACCGTGGCTACGGCAGCAGGAGGCAGCAGGCCGGCTGAGAGGGCCTTGCTGGGGCTGGGGGACCCCCCAGGAGGTGCCCACACATTTCCTTCTCTGGACAGAGTCGAAATAGACCAGCAGGCAGGACTGGACAGACCGGGAGCTCCTGCTGCCTCCAGCCGACCTGGATTTCCACAGCCACAGCCCTGGGGCGGCGGGTGGGGAGCCCACACCCCTTCTCCTCCACCTGCCGTGAGTGGACACCCAGAGCTTCCCCAGGCCTCACCTAAACCATGGGCGTGGCTATGAAAAGTCCCTCCATGCCCTGGCTGGTGTGGCTCAGTGGACTGAGCATCAGCCTGCAGACCAAAGGGTCCTGGGTTCGATTCAGGTCAAGGATACATACTTGCTTGCAGGCTCCTCCCAGGCCCGGGCCCTGGTTAGGGCACGTGCGGGAAGCAACCCATCGATGTGTCTCTCTCACATCGATATTTCTCTCTGTCTCTCCCTCTCTCTCTCTCTCTTTTTTTATATATTTCTTTATTGATTTCAGAGAAGAAGGGAGAGAGAGATAGAACCATCAATGATGAGAGAGAATCATCGATCGGCTGCCTCCTGCACGCCCCCCACTGGGGATCAAACCCGCAACCCGGGCCTGTGCCCTTAGCCGGAATCGAACCTGGGACCCTTCAGTCCGCAGGCCGACGCTCTATCCACTGAGCCACACCGGCCAGGGCTCCACCACTCTCTTTAGAAATCAATGGGAAAATATCCTTGGGTGAGGATTAACAACAACAAAATTAATTAATTAAAAAATAATAAAATAACAGGAAAGAAAGTGCCTCTATGAGGCAGGCTGTTCTCCCCGGCTGGGCCAGGCTCCACCATGTGGCACCCAGCCATCGCTTCTTTTTGTTTGTTTTGTGACTCCTCTCCCAGGGGTATTCTCCATTGATTTAGGGAGAGTGGGACGGAGGAGGGAAGGAGGGGGGAGAGAGAGAGAGAGAGAGAGGAACATCGATGCAAGAAAGACACATCGATTGGTTGCCTCCTGCATGTGCCCCGAACGGAGCTGGGGATCAAACCAGCAGCCCAGGTACGTGCGTGCCCTTGACCTGGCATTGAACCCAAAACCCCTTGGTGCTGGGGCCGACGGGCCGACCCCTGAGCCACACCGGCCGGGCTTGCCATCCTGGTTACGGAGAGCCCGTGCCAACACCACGCGGAGACCCCGAGACCCCACAGACGCTTACCATTTCCAACTCGATGTCCAAGAGTTTGCTGGGGCCGTACACGGGAGGCTTCGCTGCAACGACATCGGGGACAAGGGGCTGCCGTGAGGGCCGGGCCCGGGGACACGCGTGGGGACACGCGTGGGGACACGGGGCCGCGCGGGCGGGGCCTGGCCGCGGGGCACTCACAGTCATCCGGTCTCATCTGGCCCATGGGCCTGCGGATCGGCGTGCCCGACACCACGATGGAGGAGGCGCGGCCGTGGTAGCCCACGGGTAAGTGCAGCCTGGCGGAGGGAGGCAAAGGGCACCGGCGTCAGTGCCGTCGCGTGTGGCAGAAGACATGTCAGCATTCTTTTTTAAAAAGATCTACTTTTACTAGAGGCCCAGTGCACGAAATGTATACACGGGGTGGAGGGGGTCTCCCTCAGCCCAGCCTGCACCCTCTCCAATCCGGGATCCCTGGCTAACTGCTCGCCTGCCTGCCTGCCTGATCGCCCCTAACTGCCACCCCTGCCGGCCTGATCATCCCTAACCGCCTCTGCCTGCCTGCCCCCAACTGCCCTCCCACCCCTCCCCCCGCACCAGCCTGGTCACCCCCAACTGTCTCCCTTGCTGGCCTGGTCGCCCCCAACTGCCCCCCTTGCCAGCCTGGTTGCTCCCAACTGCCCCTCCCTGCTGGCCTGGTTGCCCCATGCAGCCTGCTCTGCTGTTCATTCGTTTGGTCGTCCCTCACTAACCCCCCTGCCGGCCTGCCCGCCCCACACAGCCTGCTGTTCAGTTGTTACTGTTACTGTGACGGTGTCCCGGAAAGTTAGCAGATTCCTCTATCATTAGTATAGACTGCTTCCAGAGAGGAAGGGAGAGGGAGAGAGAGAGAAACATGGATGATGAGAGTCACTGATTGGCAGCCTCCTGCACGCCCCCTAGTGGGGACCGGGTGAGGATGGACAAAAATAGGAGATGAAGGGACTGCCCCCTGATCCCACAGCAGGTCCGGGCGGAGCTGAGAGGACCAGACGCTGAGACCCTTGTTTCCAGAAGGGGTGACATGTGATCGTCATCACCGTCGGTTTTTCCTTCAACTGGTTTTCGGAACCCCAGGAGGACTTGGCCGCTCCCGGGACCGCGTGCCGCTGGGAGTGGACGGACAGGCTCGGAACCGTCGGACTCGGGCCTGGGACGTACCAATTGGGCATCAGGGCGTTGTCCTTGCCCCGGAACATGATCCCGACGTTCGCAGCGTGCTGCCGCGAGGAGTAGAAGTCCGTGTAGTCACCTGCGGAGGGAAGTCGGAGAGAGAGAGAGCCCATCGGGGACCCGGGTGCCTCCGGACAGAGAAGGGACATGCCAAGGATGGGCTGACAGGAACCAGGAGAGCCAGCTTCCTGGGCACCCCGTTCCGAGGGGCGGCAGGCGGGGGCACCCCCCACAGCATTGGCACCAAAGCTCAGCACAAGATGGACACAAATGAGCCTAAAAAATGGTTTCAGACCGGCCGGCGTGTCTCAGTGTTTGAGCGCCGACCTAGGAACCAGGAGGTCAGGGTTCGATTCCCGGTCAGGGCACAGGCCCGGGTTGCCGGCTTGATCCCTAGTGTGGGGCGTGCAGGAGGCAGCTGATAAATGATTTTCTCTCGTCATTGATTTTCTCTCTCTCTCCCTCTCTGAAATAAGAAATATATCAAAAAATAAATACCCTGGCCAGCATGGTAAGTGGTTGAATGCCGACCTACGAACCAGGAGGTCAGGGTTCAATTCCCAGTCAAGGGCACAGGCCCGGGTTGCGGGCTCCATCCCCAGTGGGGGGCGTGCAGGAGGCAGCCGGTCCGTGATTCTCTCTCATCATGGATGTTTTTCTCTCTCTCTCCCTCTAGCTCTCCCTTCCTCAATTAGATCAATAAAAATATATTTTTAAAAAACTCAATCAAGCCGTAGCCAGTTTGGCTCAGTGGATAGAGCGTCGGCCTGGGGACTGAAGGGTACTGGGTTCAATTCCGGTCAAGGGCATGTACCTGGGTTGTGGGCACATCCCCAGTGGGGGGTGTGCAGGAGGCAGCTGATGGATGTTTCTCTCTCATCGATGTTTCTAACTCTTTATCCCCCTCCCTTCCTCTCTGTAAAAAATCAATAAAAATATTTTTTAAAAAATGCAATCAATAAAAATGTATTTAAACAATTAAAAAAAATAGAACATTATGTCAGAACTCCTCACTGAGAAACAAACAATACAGAAGAGCTCCAGCCTTCGACTGGGCCCGAGTCGGTGATGGGGAGGGGGGTCCCAGCCCCAGAGCCCCTCCCACCAGGAAGCAGGGACCGGCCACGCTGGCCCAGGAGGCCGCCCCGAGCAGGGACTCACCGATGGCAGCCGGGAGGTGCATGGTGGCGAGAGCCTGGGGGACCAAAGCACTGAAACAGAGCCAGGGGTTTCAGGGTCAAGCGCGTGGCGAGCCGAGGCGCCCCCTGGGGGTGGCCACCCGCAGGCTCAGCCCAGCCCCTCCCAGAATCCTGTGCGCGCTGCCGGGTGACTGTCTCCAGGCGGGGCTGGGCCGGGGAGGGGTCCACCCACTAAAGCCGAGATACCGCCTCTCTGGCTGCAGATCTCATCCTAGGAATCGGGCGCAAGCCCTCCACTCGGAACCAGACAGGGACACGGAGGGCCCGGCCGGTGTGGTTCAGTGGTGGAGCGTCAGCCTAGGAACCAGGAGGTCAGGGTTCGATTCCCGCTCAGGGCACAGGCCCGGGCTGCGGGCTCCATCCCCAGTGGGGGGCGCGCAGGGGGCAGCCGGTCCATGATTCTCTCTCATCATCGATGTTTCTTTTTTTTTTTTGGTTTGTTTTTTTTCTCTCTATTTATTTATTTATTTATTACTTTTTTTTTTTTCATTTTTTCCATCATTGACATTTCTATCTCTCTTTCCTTCTCCCTTCCTCTCTCTGAAATCAATAAAAATATATATATTTTCTCTCTCTCTCTCTTTTTTTTTTTATTGCTTAAAGTATTACAAAGGGTATTACATATGTGTCCTTTTTTCCCCCCCGCCCTTGACAGTCCCCTAGCCTCCCCTATTTTTAAAAAAACCTGCCCTAATCGATTTGGCTCAGTGGATAGAGCATCGGCCTGCAGACTCAAGGGTCCCAGGTTCGATTCTGGTCAAGGGCATGTACCTTGGTTGCGGGCACATCCCCAGTGGGGGGCGTGCAGGAGGCAGCTGATGGATGTTTCTCTCTCATTGATGTTTCTAACTCTCTATCCCTCTCCCTTCCTCTCTGTAAAAATCAATAAAATATATTTAAAAAACAAGCAAACAAACTTAGCCGTAGCCAGTTTGGTTCAGTGGTTGAGCATTGACCTATGAACCAGGAGGTCAGGGTTCAAACAGTCCAAGCCCGTTTGCCGCAGTGGATAGAGCGTCAGTCTGTGAACAAAGGTCCCGGGTTCGATTCTGGTCAAGGGCACAGGCCCGGGTTGTGGGCTCCATCCCCAGTGTGGGGCGTGCAGGAGGCAGCCGGTCCATGGTTCTCTCTCATCATGGATGTTTCTATCTCTCCCTCTCCCTTCCTCTCTGAAATCAACAAAAATATATTAAAAAAACAACAACACACAAATGTATTAAAAAAAAAAAACTTTTAAAAAAAGGACCGGCTGATGCTGATGAGGCAGGAAGGGGGCCAGTGGCCAGGGGTAATTCAGTCCCCCCGGAGCCCTGCCACGGACGGGCAGCCTGGGCCGGGGCTCCCCGAGGCCAGGGCAGCCCTGCGGTGACTGCGAATGGTCCCGGCTGTCACGTCACCGTCGCCCTCCCCGCCCCGGCCCCCGACGTCCCCGCGCGCTCCTCACCGCTTGCGCAGCTCCGCGTCGTCCCGCAGCCTGGCCTGGCCGGCGGACAGCAGGTTCTGCAGGAAAGCGCGCGCCTCCTTCCAGGCGGCCTGGCCCAGCCCCATGAAGTTGTTGAGAGTTGGCTGCAACGGGGGAAGAGAGGGAGAGAGAGAGAAACATCAATGAGGAGAGTCAGTGATTGGCAGCCTCCTGCACGCCCCCTCATGGGGATCCAGTGAGGATGAACCAAATACGCAACCGAGAAGAGAGATGGAGGGACTGCTCCCTGATCCCACCAGCAGGTCCGGGGCGGAGCTGAGAGGACCAGGCGCTCCTCCGTGGGATGGGAGAGAAGGTCACGGGTGGGACAGTGCTGGGCGGAGCCCCTCCTGCCCACAGGGGAGGCCGGCCTGCCCTCCAGGGCCCTGTCACTCCTCTCCTGGGCACGGCAACGTCCAGGACGCTCACTCTTAGCTCTGTCGCCCGTGCATCAAGGTGGGGAGAGGGGTCAGCTCTCCTGATGGGACTCAGCCCCTCACGGACTCGCACACACAACGGGCAGAGCCAGGAGCCGCTGTCGGACGCTGCCGGTGCCGCTCGGCCTGGCCCTCGGTGGGAGGTGGCTGTGTGGCTCCACCGGACTCTCCAGTCTGCGGGTTATCACAGTCTATGCCAGCCGTGGACAAACTACGGCCCGCGGGCCGGATCCGGCCCGTCTGAAATGAATAAAACTAAAAAAAAAAAAAGACCGTACCCTTTTATGTAATGATGTTTACTTTGAATTTATATTAGTTCACACAAACACTCCATCCATGCTTTTGTTCCGGCCCTCCGGTCCAGTTTAAGAACCCATTGTGGCCCTCGAGTCAAAAAGTTCGCCCACCCCTGGTCTATGCACACCCCCGTCAGTAAGTCAAGAAAAGGTTTCTTGCCTGGTCAGTGGGGCTCGGTGGTTGAACGTTGACCTATGAACCCGGAGGTCACGGTTCGATTCCCGGTCAGGGCACATGCCTAGGTTACGGGCTCGATTCCCCAGTGGGGCGTGCAGGAGGCAGCCGACCCATGATTCTCTCTCATCATGGATGCTTCTCTCTCTCTCTCTCTCTCCCTTCTTCTCTGAAATTGGTAAAAAATACATTTTTTAAAAAAAGAAAAAGAGCCCGGCTGATGTGGCTCAGTGGTTAAGCATCGACCTATGAACCCAGAGGTCACGGTTCAATTCCCGGGTTGTGGACTCGATCCCCAGTGAGGGGCATGCAGGAGGCAGCCAATCCATGATTCTCTCTCATCATGAATGTTTCTCTCTCTCTCTCCCCCTTCCTCTCTGAAATCGGTAAAAATATATATATATATGTTTTTTAAAAGAGCCCGGCTGGTGTGGGTCAGTGGCTGAGTGTTGACCTATGAACCACGAGGTCACAGTTCAATGCCCGGTCGGGGCACACGCCCGGGTTGCGGGCTCCATCCCCAGTGGGGGGCGTGCAGGAGGTGACGGATACATGATTCTCTCTCATCATGGATGTTTCTCTCTCCCTCTCCCTCTCCCTTCTTCTCTGAAATCAGTAAAAACAATTTTTAAAAAGAAAAAGAAGAGAAGAGGTAGCTTAGCCAGTGCGGCCTGGCAGAGAAAGCGCTGGTGAATGCCGAAGGCTGGAGGTGCAGCCCCAGGTCCAACACGTGGAGCCAAGTGAGCCGGGAGAGCCACGTCTCCCTTCAGATCATCGAATGAGGGTTCGACGTCTACGCCAGAGGCGCTGTGAGGACCGGGCCAGGAGGGCGCTGTGTGTGGAAAACTCCTGGCCCAGAGCAGGTGCCCAGTGGATACCACTCTCCCTCCTGACCCCTGGGATGGGACGATGCCTGCAGCGGGTGCGGCTCAGTGACTGAGTGTTGACCCAGGGAGCAGGAGGTCGCCGGTTCGAATCCAGGGCAGGGCACATGCCTGGATCGCGGGCTCGATCCCCAGGAGGGAGCGTGCAGGAGGCAGCCGATCGATGATTCTCTCATCATTGGTGTTTCCCCCTCTCTCTTTCCCTCTCCCCTCCTCTCTGAAATCAATAACACACACACACACACACACACACACACACACACACACACACAAACACACACAGAGTGGCCAGATGATGATGGCCACCCCATCGGTACAACGAAGTGAATTAGTTATGCAAATAATAATAATAAAACCTTGAGAGTATTTGCTTAGGAAGTTCTCAATATTCTGTATTTTTGGAAGCGTCCATGAAGTACTGATGGGGTGGTCATCATAACCTGGCCACTCAGTGTGTGTATATATATATATATATTAAAGCCATAGTTAGTTTGGCTCAGTGGGTAGAGCGTCGGCCTGTGGACTAAAGGGTCCTGGGTTCGATTCCTGGTCAGGACACATGCCCAGGTTGTGAGCTCCACCCGCAGTAGAGGGTGTGTAGGAGGCAGCCGATCCATGATTCTCTCTCATCATTGGTGTTTCTCTCTCTCTCTCCCTGCCTCTCTGAAATCAATAAAAATATATTTTTTTTAAAAAAAGAAAAGCACCAGACCTTCTTCAGGGGAGTGAAGTCACATCCCACAGGTGTGTACCCTGCAGGCTGCCAACACAGAGGGCACTGGGCCCAGCTGTCCCCGCCCCCCCCCCCCGCCACGTGCCCCCCCCCAGCCCCCCGGGGCTGTAGGTCCGGCTCTGCAGGGCCACTGGGATCGAGGCCACGCCATGCCGCCATGCCCTACCTGCACAAACACATCCTGGTGTTTGGAGAGGACGGGCCCGGTGAAGAGGTGCTTGATGACGCTCAGGTCCAGGATCTGGTCGCCGATGGCCACGCCGATCCTCGATCTTGGCTGGGAGGAAGGCGGCACGGTCAGCGCAGGGGAAAGCCTCAGCCGAGCGCGGCTCAGCGACCCAGAACGTCTGTCTGCTGAGGAGCCCAAGGGCCCCCCGTAGAGGGACAAAGGGACCGGGTCCTTAGCACCGAACCCCAGCTTTCCGTGCCCCCCAAGGGGCTGAAACCGCTGCAGTGACAGCTTTCGATGAGGCCCAAAGGCCCTGGAATCTTCGGGAAGGCCAGAGGCCAAGCCCCCACCCCAGCACTCTCCAGAGGGTGGTGGGAAGGGGCGATCTCCCCCAGATGTCCCTCGTGGCTGTCCCTGCAGATTCCCACAGGAAACGGGGGGGCGTGGGGCGGGGGAGCCTCGGGCCAGTGGCTGGATTGGTTGAAGCATCAATCCTGTACAGCAAGCGTGTCAAACTCAGAGGCGAACGCGGGTCAAACAAACAAGGTTTGCATGGATGTGGCCGCGAAAAAACTAAAGCTTCCATTTTCATAGAACTAGGTTTGTTTCGATGGAGCCGTGCTGAATGCAAAGGCTGAGATAAACGAGTCATTGTTCACATAAAGTAATAGAACGTTTTAATAAAAATCATTATTTTTTTCTTGGACATGAACTCACCAGACCCTGAGTCCCTGCACAAATGGATAAGCCTCACGCAGATAAACCCATTTCTCTCGTTCTCCGGGAGCGAGGTATTTCCTGTTGCCACACCAAGCAGGTCAGTCCCAGACTAAGGACGTGGCCACCGGCTGCCGGAACCTTCGCTGCCGGTGTCAGTGGGGAGAGACGGTGCGCCCGCGCGTGAGGCGCGTGAGGGACGCGAATGCAGCACGATGACAGCGAACCTTGTAGCTCGCTGTTCATAATGATGTACAACAGGACATTGTAAAAATTAAGTGATTAAATTTTTATTAAAACCTCTCTTGCATACCGTTACATTGGCTGGCCACAGAAATACTCATTGTGGGCCGCATGTGGCCCGCGGGCCGCGAGTTTGACATGCTTGCTCTACACCAAAAGGTTGTGGGTTCAATCCATGGGCCTCAACCAATCCATGTCTTTTCTCTCACATCTATGTCTCTCTCTTTCTCCCTCTTCCTCTCCAAAATCAATAAAAGCCGCTCTGGCCGGTGTGGCTCATGGATACAGCGCCGGCCTGTGGACGGAAGGGTCCCGGGTTCGATTCCGGTCAAGGGCACGGACCTCGGTGGCAGGCTCCTCCCCGGCCCGGGCCCTGGTCGGGGTGCATGCAGGAGGCGACCCATCGATGTGTCTCGCTCACATCGATGTTTCTGTCTCTCCCTCTCTCTCTGAAAATCAATGGAAAACTATCCTCAGGTGAGGATTAACAAAACACACACACACACAAAAAAACCCAAAACCACAAAATCAATAAAAGCAGATCCTCGGGTGAAAATTAAAAAAAATAAAAACAAACAGCCTGGCCGGCGTGGCTCAGCGGCTAAGCGTCGACCTATGAACCAGGGGGTCAGGGTTCGATTCTGGTCAGGGCACACGCCCGGGGTTGCGGGCTCCATCCCCAGTGTGGGGCGTGGAGGAGGCGGCCGATCCATGATTCTCTCTCATCATGGATGTTTCTCTCCCTCTCCCTTCCTCTCTGAAACCAATACAAATATACTTTAAAAAATAAAAATAAAATAAACAGCACCCAGCCCCGGCCAGTGTTGCTCAGTGGATAGAGCGTCGGCCTGCAGACTGAAGGGTCCCGGGTAAGATTCCCTCTTAGGGCACAGGCCCGGGTTGCGGGCTCCATCCCCAGTGTGGGGCGTGCAGGAGGCAGCCGATCCATGATCCTCTCTCATCATGGATATGTCTCTCTCTCTCTCTCTCTCCCTTCCTCTCTGAAAAATCAATAAAAATATATTTTAAAAAAACACAGCAGAAGGGGACGGATCTGCAGGCCACTGGCCGCCCTGCCAGGGGCGGTGATTCCAGAAAAAGCCCGTCCCCGCACCCCACCTGCCTCTGGCCACAGCGTCCCCCCCTCATCGCTGGGTGCTCCCCGAAACAGTGAGGCCAGGACCTCCGGGGACAAATACCAGGGCCTCGCAGCCGCTGGGGTGCTCATCGGGTTACGGTTTAAGCTGCCCGCCCCCCCCCCCCCCCCCCGCATTGTCTCTGCGCCCCGTGTCCCTGCAACCTCTGCCCAGGCCTGGCAGGTGCTCGGCCACAGGCCGGCTGTCCCAGACCGACAAATGGACGGAGGCACTGGCTGCAGGGTGGCCACAGAGGCACCCTGCCTGGGGGCCAAAGGTCACCCTGGGGGCAGGGGCCCAGGCGGCACCCAGGGGTGCAGGCCGGGTCTGGGGTTCTGCGGTTTCACCTTGAAAGCTGGGAGCCGGCGTCTAAGCAACATGACCACCAACACCCGCAAAGGAATGGGGGTCCCCTTCCCCGCCCCCCAGCCCCCAGCGCCCCCCCCAACCCGGGGCCGGTTCACCCCCGTTTGCCCATGAGCCCGTCTTCAGGGCTCACGTCCACCCAAGTCAGGCCACACGGCGGCTTCCAACCGGCGTGCGTGTCGCAAGAATGTCCAACCGGCATGTCGCAAGGTTGGAAGGTCGCCGGGCCCGGCCGCGCGAAGGGAGAGTGGGGTTCCTGGCCCCCCAGGGCGTCGGAGGGACCCCCAGCCCCGCGGCCTCGAAGCCCCGGACGACACGGGGCGCCCGCGCTCCGGGGACCCGGGGTCCCGCCGGCCTGGGAGCGCGATCGCCGAGGGCAGGGGCGCCCCCGATGCCCGCGGGGTCCTGGGGACACGCTGCCTCGGCGGGCGACCTCCGTTTGCATCTCGTTCCCACGCAAACCTGCAGCGGCACCGGGAACCCGCGGGCGCGCACGACCCGCTCCTCGGGTGCAGAGTGGGCCGGCCCCCCGCGCTCCTCGGGGCTCCCCGGGGCTCCTCGGGGTTCCCCCGGGCGTGCAGACGGCGCGGGGAGGCCCGAGCGGAAGGGGAGGGTCCCTCCCGGGTGAGGGGTCCAAGGTGAGGGGTCGCCCGCCCGCGCCCCCGGCTCACGTTGGCTGCGGTGGAGAAGACGCCGTAGGGCAGGTTGTGGATGGAGAAGTCCGAGTCCTCGGCCACCGGCACGAACGACATGCTGACGGGACCCGAGCCGCGAGCGGGACTCCGGACTCAGCGCCGCGGTCCGTCCCGCCGGAGCACTCCTGCGGGCCCGCCCCCCCGACGTGACGGACAGCCCGCCGCTGACCACGCCCCCGAAAAACCACGCCCAACTAGCCACGCCCCTCGGCAGCCGCGACCCTGCTAACCACGCCTCTCGGCAGCCCCTTCCCCCCGACCACGCCTCCATTCAGCCCCGCCTCAAAGGCCACGCCTCTCGCAGCTCCGTCCCCGCGGACCAGACCTCCCGGAAGCCCCGCCCAATTTGCCCCCGATACTCCCGCCCCCTCTGACCACGCCTTCCGGAAGCCCCGCCCAATTTGCCCCCGATACTCTTGCCCCCGATACTCCCGCCCCCTCTGACCACGCCTTCCGGAAGCCCCGCCCAATTTGCCCCCGATACTCCCGCCCCCTCTGACCACGGCTCCGGGAGCCCCGCCCACTGACCACGCCCCCGGGAAAAGCCCCGCCCCATGGACCCAGCCATTCTCCCGCGGGCTCTTTTTTTTTTTTTTTTTAAAATATATTTTTATTGATTTTTTACAGAGAGAAAGGGAGAGAGATAGAGAGTTAGAAACATTGATGAGAGAGAAACATCGAGCAGCTGCCTCCTGCGCATCTCCCACTGGGGATGTGCCCACAACCCTGGTACATGCCCTTGACCGGAATCGAACTTGGGACCTTTCAGTCCGCAGGCCGCAGGCCGCCGCTCTATCCACTGAGCCAAACCGGTTTCGGCCTCCCGCGGGCTCTTGACTTGTTCAGTCTGCACAGGCCTGACCCTCCCCTTAAAGGCAGCAAGGTTTCATTCTGTGAGCAGCTTGGTCAACACCCAGCAAAACACGGGGTACAGAGGGGCGCTCCATGATGCCTCAGGGATTGATTCAAAACTAGTGACGAAAGCAACCGACCCCCAGCTGATGTGGCCTGTTCTATGCGGGGGTGTGTGTGGCCATAGGATGACTGAAGGGGAAGATTTCATCGTTTTAAAATAGACCTGCCAACCCTCTAATTACATATAAGTGTCTGAAAAGGCCAAAACTGTTGTGTTTGAAAATAAAAACCACTGGAAGTCACTTGCAAATACACTCTACTTCCTTTTCTCCGTTTCGGGGTGGGGGTATGTTGAACATGCCCGTTACAATGATAATAAACCAAACCAAACAAAAAACAGCCCTGACCAGTTTGGCTCAGGGGATAGAGCGTCGGCCTGCGGACTCAAGGGTCCCAGGTTCAATTCCGGCCAAGGGCATGTCCCTGGGTTGCGGGCACATCTCCAGTAGGGAGTGTGCAGGAGGCAGCTGGTCGATGTTTCTAACTCTCTACCCCTCTCCCTTCTTCTCTAAAAAATCAATAAAATATATTTAAAAAAAACAGAAAAAGATTGCCTATCATCCCAGAAACCTCCATTCTTCATTTTCTCGTTACTTGTTACTTTGTGTTTTTAAAAAAATATATATTTTTATTGATTTGAGAGAGGAAGGGAGATAGAAACATCAGTGATGAGAGAGAATCATGGATCAGCTGCCTCCGGCACGCTCCGTACTGGGGATCGAGCCGCAACCTGGGCCTGTGCCCTTGACCAGCATCGAACCCGGGACCTTTGTCCACAGACGGGCGCTCTATCCACTGCGGCAACCGGGCTCCGGCTGTTTGTTCCCTTTGCATGCACGGCATTTTCCCATCTTTGTGAACTTCACGAAGGGCAGTTTTTCGGGCTGGCCCTCCATTTTTCTCCTGAACACTTTTCCCTGGCCAAACAGGCTTCATTCCCGTCACTCTCACCGGCGGAAGAGGCTGCCATGCTTTGAGTGGTGACAGTAATAGAGCAGTGGATGGAGATCTGTGTTGTGACTTCCTGTTGGCGGGGATCTGCAACGTAACTTTGAATTACGTACGCCGTGAGCGCGGGCATCCCTTGGTTTCTCTTTTTTTTATAATATATTTTTATTGATTTCAGAGAGGAAGGGAGAGGGAGAGAAACATCAATGATGAAAGTCATGGATCGGTGGCCTCCTGTACACTCCCTACTGGGGATCAGCCTGCAACCCAGTCCCTGACCAGGAATCGAACCTGGGACCCTTCAGACCACAGGCCGACGATCTATCCACTTAGCCACACCGGCCAGGGCCCAGCCCTTGCTTTCTGACTTTGAAAGGGAATGAGTTGTCTCTTTTTACAAGGTGCCTGCTTTCTGTGTGGCTGGTTTTACACGGAAACTATCAGTATAAGGCAATTCCTTCCTAGTGCTCACTTATCATGAGTTTTTAAAAATCACGAATGACTGCTAAATTCTATCAAATACTTTATCTGAATCTGTTGAGACAGTTCTAATGGATTTCCTCCTGTTTTCGTCTGTTCATGTGATAAACTTACATTTACAGATTCTCACGCTCAGCCACCATGACACACTAAGACAGAACAAGACATGTCGTAAGTGGACACACTGAAACCTAGAGCTTTGCATGGTGACGATACTGCTGTTTTACATCATATTTCTTGGTTTAAAAAGGATGGCTGCCTGGTGAAGCTTGGAGGGTCTTTCTCTCTCCACAATTCTCCAACTGCTCGGTCTGAATTTACGCGCTGTTTTTCTTTTCGATTTTTTCCCCCTAGTTAGTTCTCTTTATAGACTCTGGTTATAGGAAAAGGGTGCCTGTGTGCCGCCGGGGCCACCACTCGGACAGGGCTGGGCTATTTACAGGCCCACCGAGAGGGCTATACCATGGCGCCTCCCGCCAGCGCTCAGCCAGGGTGGGGTTGGCAGGGGCTGTACACACAAATTCGGGGGCTGGGCCTCAATACTGTCAAGGGAGGGGGCTGTAAACATGGCCGGGGGGTCCTGCCCACCCCTAGTGGTCTGTGACTGGATCTGGTCCACCAACTGCGGGGCCGACGGCACGTCCTGGGCACAGAGGTTGTAAACACGATGAGTCGCCTTCCCATCGAAGGCGGCCTTCTCATCTGCCGTCTTGGGGGCGCCACAGGTGGGAGTGCCAGACACCATGGCCTCCTCCTCTGCCAGGCTGATGACCCCTTTGCACTCTGTACCCATGCGGTGTAGCTGTGCTCCGTTCTCATCTTACCAGAACAGCAGTTCTCCTGGGCCAGTGACGGCGAACCTTTTGAGCTCGGCGTGTCAGCATTTTGAAAAACCCTAACTTAACTCTGGTGCCGTGTCACATACAGAAATTTTTTGATATTTGCCACCATAGTAAAACAAAGATTTATATTTTTGATATTTAGTTTATATATTTAAATGCCATTTAACAAAGAAAAATCAACCAAAAAAATGAGTTCGCCATCACTGTCCTATGCTGACTCGGTGTGACCGAGAGCAGAGCAGGGAGCCAGACAAGAGCTAGCAAGTCTGACAGCTCAGCGACAGACGCTCTCGGCTTTAAAGACATGCTGGCATCCTCACCTCACGGGCGTGTGCGATCACTGTAGCACGGGAGATCACTCACGGGCAGGTGCGAGCTGAGCAGGGGGCCCTCAGAGGATGGGCGAGGCAGGCGGGACACAGCAGGACGGGGAGTGGGACGAACCGCCAGGAGAGGAACAGAAAAGGCAAGCACGCGGGCAGGTCGTGGTTTTGCTTTTTATTTAATCAAAGACTGGTGGGTAAACATAAATACAGCACAATTACTTCAGATCATTCTTCATATCGTGTACACACAGACCGATGAACGCAATCTGAAAGAAACCTGCGGTCAGCGATGAAATGCACTCAGCTTTCTCTTCCCTCGCTCAAAAAAAAAAAAACAAAAAAAAATTTAAAACATACAAACTCTAGGATCTCCTCAGCACACTCTCTCCTGTGACAAATGATTCAGACATAAATAGTGGGTGCAAAGAAACGCTATGCTAACGTATGCAGAACCTTTGTTAAGGAAGAGACCAGAAGCAGCCGTAATGATTCAGATACATTCAGTCACCGATAACTAGCCGTGCCCCGGAAGGCATTACCAAAGGAGTCGTGCTGCAGAGAAAAGCTCTATACACATACACAGTGAGAAACCAACCGCAAGGTTAACGCATGCATGTTTAATACTGGGGGGGAAATAAAGAAATCACAGCCCGCCAAAATCTCTCCACGTTTGTTATAAAAGCCCTCTGCGCTCAACTAAAATGAAAAGGATCTTAAAAGGATAATACTTGTAAAGTTTACTTAAGTCTTCTCAGCCACAGAAACTGCAATGGAAATAAATGTTCAAGAGTCATTTTCAAAACAAAAACAAAAATCTATTCTTCTGGTGACATGCATGATTAAAAGGTCTATGCAAGGGACACTGCGCTACCCGCCCACTGACCAGGAAAAACACCTCAAGTCAATGTTTAGTTTGCAGATGGTCAAAGGATTTTGTATTCCAGCAGGAGCTCAAATCTTCTGGATCTTTTCGCCGACCACCACCGGGTTTTCTTTTCGGATTTTCTCAGCAGCGTCGGCTTTGTAATTGTAAGAGCAATTGTGTACATCGGAGTAGCGGTGTACCCCACAGTAAACATTTCCACACCGGCATTCAAACCCTGAAACGGGGTGAACACACACATCTGAGTCGGGGGCAGGTGGGAATCGGGAGCACATTTCAAGTTCAGCACAGATCGCGTGTTCGGGTCGTCCGCTAGAGCACCGTTCACAGCCCAAGAACATTCGAGTTCACTAGCTGGTCGCTTCGGGTTTGAGCCAGAGCACGGCTCCGGGCTCCAGGTCCCTCACCTATGACAGGGCCACCACTACCTCCTCTCAAAGCAGACTGCTAAGTGGAAGAAGGGAAACATTTCTCGCATCTAAACTCTGCAATGTGACAACAGGCACATGGTCAGCGGGCAGGCTTACATGTTAACTAAGAAAGACCAACGGCCCCTGACAGCTGTTAACAAGTAACAGCGCCCACACAGCTGTCCTTAGCTAACCCCTCCCCACCCCCCACCCCCGCCCCCCGATGGAAAGGGAGCTGAACTTTGGCTCAGCGGCTAAGACCAGGGGGTGCAGTTAGGGTGCCCGTGCATGAACCCACTGCTAACGCGGGCCAATTCCTTAGCCGCTCTGAGCCTCAACTGCCATTGTA